AGGCTATAAGAAGAAATATAATGTAGAAGGGCAGAAAGGCTGTAGCTAGAGATATCAGTGAGTGGAGATAGTTTCAATAATCTAGGGTAAACATGAAGGTGAACTGAACTAAGGATGTAGTGGAAGGGACAGATAATAAATAAATACAACTGTCACTGGATAGTAAAACTGAATTACAATTTTCATTTTGCTCCTTAAAGCTATCACATGATAGTCCAATTCTGTATTTTCCCAGGCTCAGGTTAAAGGGGCTCAATTGCTGAACTGTTTCATTCTTTCACCAAAAGGTGGTTGTACAGCAGTGATCCTGACTGATCAACATTTGACTAAAGTCCAAGGGCATTCTCATGACCAAACCTAGAAAAGAAGTTCTCAATTTACATTCCACTAAGGCTCGGAACACCAATGTATTCATGAATTTAAGGCAAAAATCATACTCTCTAAAGTAATATTCCAAATGCTAAAGTTTACACTAAAAACACAACTAGCTTTTGACAGATAGTTTATCACAGTTATCTTGATACAATGAGTATGTAAATTCCATCCAAAAGCTAGGCATCATACCTCACTAAAAAGGAGAAGATAGGGGAAAAAACCCCAAAAGTTATGCTAGAAACATCAGAAATATTATATTTGTATAAAGCAGAACTTGAAAAAATAAATCTCTAGGAAAAGAACCTCTGCTTTACTATAGGATAGTTAGTATCTAAGGACACAAGAAGTATTTCTACACTAGCCTGGCACCTTCAATTAATAGAAAAGATAAGGCCTAATCCAAACATTAGGACATTATGTACAGAGGGAAAAATGATAATCTGAGGGAGTGGGATGGGGAGGAGGGAGAGAAAAAAGAACAGAGGCAGAAGAGCATGAGGCAAGGTGTCCTGCTTAGATACCTTTATCCAGCAATATGGCCCCTAAGGGCTAACAAGGGAAGAAAACAACTAGTTCCAGACTTTTAATAATTTCATCTCAGTCCTCAAGCTATCAAACCACACTAGTGCTCACAAAAAGAAAAAAGAAAGAAGAAGAAGGAGGAAAAAAAAAAAACCCAAATAAACCCATAAAGATCACAACTAACTCTGCTGAGGCTATAATCATTAGTTATTTTTAGGAAATTAAAAATCTCAGGAGTAAGACTCTTGAATTTCAAATAACTCTAATCTGAATGTTACCTCTAGCATTACAGACAGAAACCCTACAAACATCCGCCATTTAAAATATCTTATGACAACAATAAATTATATAGTTTCAAATAGCTAGTGAAGGATATTGTTTTCCCAACACAAAGAAATGCTGTTTGAGATGATGGACATGCTAATTACCCTGATCTGATCACTATACATTATATGTATCAAAACATTACTATGTACCCCATGAATATGTATACTTATTATTTGTCTATAAAATTAAATTAAATAATAAAATATGTTATCAAATGATTAAGTATCAGTTCAATATTAAAATTGGAAAGGAGCACAGCCATAGGCAGAGATATCAGTGAGAAGAAATGTTTTCAAAACATTGAAAATAATGGTTTTTTAGTTTGTAATTTGTCACAATTTTTTAAATTGTAGGCTTACAGGAATTGTAAGACATTTGTAAAATCAGAACAAATAATTTCATTGAACAAGAGATGTTCATTGTATTAATCAAATTCAGCTCCATTTTTTAAAATACAGATCAATAGTTAGCTTTTTATTTCATTTTAAGAAGATACACTATAATAAAACATTGAATCTCAATCAACTAGATACCATTACATTGTATTTAATTTTTTAAAAATAAACAATTGGCTTTTTAGTGTTTTATACTTTTTCTCAGCAATTTTTATTACCATATTTGTAGTAAACATTTTAAATAAGCTTAGTTTATTAGGAGCCCACGGATTTATGCTCTTTAATCTGACAACCAGTTTTTAGAAACTTAAAGTATTTTAAGAAAACTTCTGCCATTTATCTTTAAGCACAAAAAACCCACTTAAAATAACTTTGGAGTTTCTCAAGTCTAAGAGTAAAAACAAAATATTAGGGTACATCAGTAGTGTTAATTTTAATTAAAGAAGAGTAACATTATCATTTTGTACATATAATGGAGGGAGGGTAAGATATCATGGTCCTACATGGAAAGAAGACAATTTTCTTTAAATTGAGCCATACAATTTAAAAATTTCAACCACCACCACAACAACAAACCCCACAGATTACTTAAAATTCTGGAAAAAAGTTTCTAAAGTTCATCTTTAAATAAAAATGTGTAAAAAAAAAACTAAAAAATTTTGTATAAGAAGAGGGTTGCCTCGCCTATTAATAAAAACCCATTTATTAAAACAGTGGATACTGGTACAAGACTAATAGTTCTGAAATGGCTTCGGGAGCCTTGAAACCCAAGTACAAAGAAGAATTTAGTCTATAATAAAGATAATATTTTAAAACAGTGGGATAATAAAATGAAAATTCAATAAATGATTTTGGGACAAGTGGCTAAATACTTCGACGAAACTAAAATTAGGGTTCCAAATATCATCAGATAACAAAGTAAAATATCAGGTGAATTAAAGAGTAAAGTGTAAAAATTAAGAAACAAAGCTCAAAATATTGAAAGGAAACAGAGACTAACATATACTTGAGGGGAATGAGGAAGAAATTACACCAGAGTCAGACAGAAAACAAAAGACATATCTACCTAAAACATGCATGTACATATACTTTTCTCCATGTTAAATATACCTACAAAGCTAAAAGACAAAGACTGGAAAGAATTTGTAACATATAACAGATAACAGAAAACTAACCTTCATATCAAAAAGATGAATTCAGCAAGAGACTGCAGTACAGGCAAAGGATTATGAGTGTGTAATTTATGACTAAATGTAACTAGCATATAAATATAAATAAATATAAATATAAAATGTCTTCAATGGAACTAGTAATTAAAGGAATGAAAATAAAAACAAAAAGTAGCAAAATGCCTGATACTTAGTACAGGGAAATGGGGCCATCATACAATGTTACCAGGACTATGAATAAATATAACATTTCTATGGGGCAATATGTATCAAGGTTTAAAATGTGTATCACTTCTGACCCAATAACTGCTCTTTGAGAAATGTCAATTAAGATCATCTCTCAAAGATGTATGCATACAAATTCATTACAGTGTTGATTGCAATCTAAACAAATTGGAAACAACCTAAATGCCTATCAATAATAACAAATCTTAGTATTTCATAAACCAAAAATACCATGCATCTATTAAAAATGACGTAGAGATCATACATCTATTGACATGAAATAAATGATCCTGACATTCATTTTATATGGCAGCTGCATGTGAGCAGGAGCCTTGGATGTCTTGTTCTTCACTCTTATTTCCAGCACCTTGAACAATGCCTTGCACAAAACACCTTCTCAGTAAGCATTTATTAAACAGATGAATTTTAAAACCAGGTTACAGAACAATAATCATAATATAGTTCCTTTCTCTCCACTGCCTCCCCCCCAGACAAAAAGAGGGAAAGAGAAATATAACTAGAAGGATAGTCACAAAAGGTTAACAAGGTAACACAGGTAATTCCTCTCTGTATTGTATAAATTCCTTACATAGCAAGCATTTTTTTTTTATGACTAGAAAAAGTAGCAACATTGTTTTTTAAGGAACTCATATATTTAAAATAAACTCCAGAATGTGTTCTGGAGCAACTACAGCTCAAACTCCCAAAACTAATAGCAACAATATCCAAGTGGCATGTTTTCTTTCATGTGCAAAGAAATATCAGTATATCTTGAACAAGTAGCATCTTTTCCAATCCCAGGAAGTATCACACTATACTAATAAAATGTAGTGTTTCCAAAAGGAAAGGTACACTTTTTGAGCAGTAAAAAGAAAAAAAACAAAACAAAACCCTGAAAATAACTAATTTATTAAAGTCCTTCCCTATCCACTACTAACATAAAACCCTATTCTAGTTCATGGTAAAAGCTATTATATACGATTGTCCTTCTTTTTTTACAGGCTAAAAAGCTAAATGAATCCATATCAGTAATGGGCTCTACATAATTCTTTCATTTCTTTACATAGGCAGATTTCATCTTAAAGACAGTTAAACAATTGATATATTAAAACTAGCCACATATCCTTGTCTCTATTCATCCCATCACCCTGTTCTACTTTATTCACAGGCTTTATCACTATCTGAAACAACCTCATTTGAATTTTTTTTTCTGTCTCTTCCTTCTAGAATGCAAGCTCCACGAGGACAGGAAGCCTGTCCTGCTCACCATAGTGTCTCCGGCCCAAGAACAGTGAATGGTATCTAGTAGGCCCCGCATTTGTCAAATAATGAAAAGATGCGGTGGGCAGGGGGTGGGTACAAATCTAAACAAGACAACAAATGAGGAATTGAAAAAAATGAAAGAAAACCACATTGAATGTACAAACTAACAGGACTCAAAGCTATAATGCCAGCTCGGAGGTTTGGTGGACATTTTTCAAGGTGGACAGGTGCTTCACACCTATCCGAGCTCATAGAGCTCTCCCAGGAAGAGAAAAACCCACACGGAGGTCTTCCAGGTAGCTGTGAGCAGCTCCCAGAAGACTGGAAACGATCATCACCGTAACAGAAATGTGGCCCACGGTCGAGAGAAAAAACAATACACCATACATCTTGGCCCAGATGAAAAAAACCACACGAATCCCCAACACAATCAAACCGAGCAAGCAACCTTCCGCCTGACACGTTAAGAGCGGTCTCCTTTCCTCTGACTGTGCAGTCGCCTGCAACCCAGAGACCCCTCCACTCGCCAAACACTTTTCCCTGCCAGAGACCCCCCGCCGCAGCCGGTCCAAGGGGAGAGAGAATGGGGGAAACAGTGTGAGAACTAGCTTTCTCCACCCCCACCCGAGCCTAGTCTCCGCCAAAGCGCAAATGCCTTCCTCCCATCCTCGCCTGTCCGCGGAGGCCCCGACCCCTGCCCCTCCTGTTCTGTCCCCTCACTCACGTGTAGATGATGGCCATGAAATGCATCAGCCACAGCACCAAGAAGAGGGCGAACCCGAAGACAGCCATTCCCTCCAGGGCCAGGTCCAGCAGCGCCATCCCCTGGCCCGCCGGCCCGGCCCGGCTCGCTCCGGCCGCCAACGCGGACAGCGCTCCCGCACAGGAGGACAGGGTGGGCGCTCGGAGCCGGGGCGCGGGAGGCGAGAGGAAGGTGGGGAGAGGAAGGGGCGGAGGGGGTGGGGACGGAAGGGGCGGGCAGGGCCTGCGCGCCCCCGCCGGCGCGCTCTCGCCCGCGCTCTGTCCTGGGGTGCTCGCGGGCGCTGCGGTGCCCGGGTTCTGTGGTCAGGGCGGCCGTGGTCCGGCGCTCCGGCTCGCCTCTCCCGACTCTCGCGGCCACCGGCCGGCCCCTGCGCGCCGCCGCCCCGCCGCCTCCCCGCCGGGCTCCCGGCCGTGCAGCTGCGTCGGCCTGCTCCGCCGCCGCAGCTCCGCGTACTAATCGAAACCGGCGGCTCGCACCCCGACTCCCCAGCACGCCCCGCCCCGCCCCCGCCTCTGGACCCGCGGTGCCCGCCCCTCCACGCCCACCCTGCCGCCCGCGCGCCCGCTGCGTATCTGGCGAGAGCGCGCCCCGGGGAAGCTTCGGTGGCTACGCGCAGGCCGGGTTTTTCCCGGCTTCTCCCTCCCGCTGCCGCCCACCTAGCCGCGCCGGGCGGGGGTTCCCGGAGCAGGCAGCATTGCAGCGCTGCGCTGGGCTCCCTCGGCGGTGGCGGCTCCGGACCCTGTATCCGGCTCGGAGGCTGCTCTCCCTGTGTCTGGCTCTCCTGCTCCAAGGCGCCCCAGAGAAAGACACGGGGTTCCAGGCAGCTACCGAGCTTGTGTCGAAACCCAGCTTCCAACACCGTGTCTGCAGCCTCCCCGCTGGGCATTGCTCGCAACGGCTAGGCCCTCCAGGCCATGATCCTGGGCGCAAGGGTTTCTTATTGCCTTCCCACTCGCTGCTTTTAATGCCGCGGGATCTTGGATCAAAACGGATCCGAGAGTAAAATAATCTCCATGTGCTGTAACAGATCTCTAAGCGCCTTGGATGTTTATAAAAAACATTCTCAAACTCAATGTATGGAATCAGTTGACGCTGAAATCCCCTAAGACTGCTGTCCAATACGGTAGCCACATGAGGCTGAGATGTGCTGTGCGTGTAAACAATACACCGATGTGGAAGAAATCGCATTAATAAACTTTGTATTGATTACAGGTTGAAACGATACTGTCTTAGATATGTTGGGTTAAATTATGAAATTAAATTCAGTTAAAAATTTTTTAATGTGGTTAGCTACTAGAAAATGTTAACTACACATGTGGACAGCACTGCTCTAAAATGGAAAGAAGGGTAACTTTGGATAGCAAAGTAACTTAGTATCTATCCTAATGTTCAGTCGGCCCAGGGAGATGCTAATACTAAATGTTTTTGTTTGTTTCTTTAACCTAGATGAGTTTATATTGTTCCTTGTTTATTTTATGTTTAAACAATGTTTATTATTGTAAGTGATTTCCTTTTAAATAATCCATGACCTCTCGAGAGATTTCAGAATTGAATTCAATTTTGAAAACAAGTTTATTATTGTTCGTTATTATAGTTAATGATTGAATGAGCTACCTCTATCTACAATTAAGTGATAAACTATAATTAGAAGAATTTAGTGTCTGTGTTGAGAACCAATCCTGGATTCGATATCCTTTATTCTACTGTATAAAGTCAGGGGGAAAGAACAGTGCTTAGAAATCAAATTCCCCTTGCTGAGAGTTACTGGTTGATAAAAATAGGATAGAATCCTAACATGAAAATAACATTTCAAACAAACTTTCAAATGTCATTATTGTAGTTAGTCAATTCTAAGACACACTTTTACAAAACACTTCCACACATCCTAACATTTCTGAAATGGAAATGCCTCTCACAGTCAACGCCATCTTCACAATTAATTGGCATGCGTTTTTTCTTAGTCAAATATAATGCTGCATCTATAATAAGTGCTGTCTTAGATTTGATGAACTACTCAATATAGCATTTTGTTATATTCTGCATTTTTCCAAAATGTTTTCTGGAACCTTACAATAAAAGATTTTATACAGTATGATTAATACTGTATAAAAGGTGAAAGTGGATATTCTTAAGAGTTAACAAATTTTCTGGAATTGAGTATAATCAATTGGTTAAAGGTCAGTTATGTTATACTTGACCCTAGTTAAACTAGGTTTGCCCAAACCTGGTTTTGAAGCAATCACTTTAGAATATGTAATCCTAATAGTCTATAAATAGTGTACCTTCCAAAGTCTATGTTTTTTCCATGTGGCAGCATAGGATTCTAGCAAAGATCCTGATTGCTGATCTCAGTTAACTTTTTCTTTTTCTTTGGTTGTTTATTTAAAGGCCCTCCCTCCTCTCTTTGCAAAAAACAATTTTACCAAGTTCGGTTTCTGATTTTTCCCAGTGGCAATCCAGTAACCTTAGGTATATATCAGAATTCATACATTTTTAAGGAGCAATGATTTTAGAGGCAAACAAAATCCAAATTTGACTGTTATTGAACTGCCATAGTTTATCGAACATTAATGAGAAAAGAATTCAGAATGTTGTGTTCAAACCAAGTAGTTGGAATACATTTTTGGCTTGAACCAAATCCAAACCAAAATAATTTACTTATAGCTGATTCTAAACTGAAATGAAATGAAAATTGCATTGGTTCAAGTCCCATTTCCCAGAAAATAAAAAAGCAGAAGACTGGGAAAACACAGTCATATAAATTATTTCAGAGAAACAAAACAGTTAAACTATGGCAAGTTAATACTCTCAGGTATATTTTCCCAAACTGCCTATATTTAAATTTTTGTGGTTCACTTTTAAAAGTTATATTTTGAATAATTGAGATTTTTGATTTGGGTTGTATCTAAGAAAATCATCTTTGATAAGATTTCTAGATAAATTGAGTTTAAACTGGGACATTAGAAAGCTATATACAGCCAAAAGACTGAAAGAAATGACATCAGATGAGTATGAGTATTTGTCTTTGAGAAATAGAATAAGTTGATTTTTTAAAATCTGCCTTTTTATATAAGCATTATTATTTTTATGAAGAAAAAATGACTTTTTCTGTTTTACAAGGGAGTTCATCATTGGTTAAAAACCATTTGGTAATTTTTCATGATTTTATTTTTTAAAATTAGTAAGTAATACAGCCACTCTGCAAGACAGTTTAGCAGTTTCTTACAAAACTAAACATACTCATACCATATGACCCAGTACTTGCACTCCTTGGTATTTACCCAAGTAAACTGTAAACTATGTCCACACAAAAATCTGCATGTGGATGTTTATAGGATCATACAAACTATATGGATGGGAGTGGCTGAGTGAGGCAGTGCAGGAGTGTATATGGGAACTCAATGTACTTTCTACTCAATTTTGCTGTGATCCTAAACTGCTCTAAAAAATAAAGCCTATTTTTAAAAAATTACTGAGGGCTGCACTAAAAAATATATATTATGTATATATTTATACAAATATATTATATCTATAATTGGAAATGATATAAATGTCTGAATAATTAAGATGAAAATTAGTTTACCATCAGATCCCAGGGCTTAGCACTTTGTGGGCACTCAAATATTTGTTGAATGAATGAATGCATTAATCTACATTGGCAGAAGTCACTGGGAAAATTGTTCAGCTTTCTCTTTTGTCTGTAAATATTTTTTATTTTTTTAATTTAATTTAATTTAATTTAATTTTTTTTTTTTTTTTGAGACAGAGTCTCACTTTTTGTTGCCTGGGCTAGAGTGCTGTGGCGTCAGCTTAGCTCATAGCAACCTCAAACTCCTGGGCTCAAGCGATCCTCCTGACTCAGCCTCCCAAGTAGCTGGGACTACAGGCATGCACCACCATGCCCGGCTAATATATATATATGTGTGTGTGTGTGTGTGTGTGTGTGTGTATGTATATATATTTTTTTAGTTGGCCAATTAATTTCTATTTATAGTAGAGACTGGGTCTCACTCTTGCTCAGGCTGGTTTTGAACTCCTGACCTTGAGCAATCCACCTACCTCAGCCTCCCAGAGTGCTAGGATTACAGGCGTGAGCCACCATGCCTGGCCTGTAAATATTTTTTTAAATGGTTTTTCTTTGTGGAAAAAAAATCCACATTAACTACCATACCCCTTCCTTCATCTTACAAAATTAAGCCACAGAGTTAGAGTAACTATGTATTAGTTTACCTAATCACAACCTAAAGACCTATTTCAAAGCCTACACCCTATTTGACAGTAAACAGAACACTTTTCATTTCAATATTGGACATATCTTCCATCTTTGTCATTATCATACAGTATCTTTCATATACGTAGTTTAAAGATCACAGTTTGGTTCCCTATTGTTAATGTGGTATTGTTTTTAAAAGGCAGGCATAGTGTAAATTTTTTGCCCTGTAAAAAACTTTAAAAATAAGGTGAAAACAAGGTGATCATCCAGAAATTGAGTAAATTTGAAGTTTCAAAAACAGAGTTAGAATCAATTGAGATGAAATTTGTGGTGCTAGTGCTAAGAGAAACAGTAAGTACTGTCTTTTTTTCTTTTCTAAGTGTGTTTGGAATTAGTAGAAAAAATACCTTAATACTTAAATCAGTTCAGGTGATTAACTTACATTGGTTTGTTACCCATACAATGAGAACTTTGTAAAAGCATTCAGATCCTAAGATACTATATTACTATGAATAGCCTTCAAACCATGCAAAGGTTCTAGGCAAATTATCAGTTCAGGGCCTGATCTTGATAAAACCACTGGTATGGTGTGTTTATACATGTAGGTGTGGTCCAGGGGAGTGACTAGAGTTCACTAGAGTTCATGTCATTCTCAGCTGCTTTGCTAACTCATATTCAAATACCTAATTATTTGACTGGCTTAAAAAAAAAAAAATAAAATAAAATCTATTTTACCACATACCCATTTTTCCTTTAAAATTTCATATTTGATCTTGTTTTAAGCCATAATTTGCTAGGTTGAAGCGTTAATGTTCATTCTTAAACTAAAAGTTTTAAGCTAAACTTAAAAGATTTCCAAATATGCCCCATGTAAATACCAACGATTTTTCTTTTTAAAAATGTTTTGAAATTTCTTTCCTTTTAGATAGTTATGACTCACTCCAATTTATTTATTAGAGTTCATAATGTTAAAATCTTCACCTGGGCTATGGGTGGGGTATGTGTGTGTGTATGTGTGTGTGCATTTGTGTATGCATGTGTGTGTATGTGTGTGTGCATGTGTGTGTGCATGTGTGTTTGTGTAAACAAACTTGGTAAGTTTATGAGAGAGAGAGAGAGATTGAATACAAGAACATAAATTATATGCCAGGCAATTTTTAAAAATGATAACTTTCATAGTCATGAAATGTACAACTGGAAACCTTAAAGATTAAGTTTAAATACTCAGGTGACATTTGATTAAGTGAAGGTGATGAAGTTTGTACCCAGGTCTGTCAGATTCCAAAGCC